ACACACACACACACACACACACACACACACACACACACACACATACAAACGCACACACACAGGAGGCCTGTATCTTATACTACCAGTGAGATGCTTCTTCATATATTTTATCGATTCACATTCTTAGACCACAGGTACACAAGGGCAGCTTTTTCCTAACTTAGAACATCATCAATCTACCACGAGCAGTTCAGAAAATTTAATCTGAGGAGTATTAATAGCAAACAGACACAAAGAGCATCACTTTACCAAAGAGAATGAGATCCCCCTATTGTTTTTGAATTTTCCTGTTGGAGAGGTAACACAATTTGAAAATACTGACAAGTTATTTTACTCTAACATGGGAAATAAATATGAGAACCAACAGGAAAAGAAAATTTAAAAAGAAATTTGGAAAGGTGATAGAAATGTCTATCTTGTGAGGAAAGAATAGAGCTACAGGCAACAAAGGATGGCAACGGTGAGATTTACAAAGGCCAGTGGTATAAGGAATGAATGCCCGCCCCCTTACCTTCTTGTCTGTGCATGAGTAAAACACGTGATACGAAAACAGAATTAAAAAATAACTGGCACACTTCAGAAATACCAAAACTCTTACATACTGAGGACAGTTTTCTTTTAAAAGCCCATTTTTACTAAGAAGAAAAAAAATCCCTATCCTTAATAGTCATTTTTTTCAGTTGTTTTATTAAAGACTAATTATTTTCCTAGTTTGATAAGAGCATATATTCAATTATATATGGATATGCATGTTTATATTTGTGACTGTGAAAAACTTGGAAAATACTGAAAGTAAATACCCTAAGATACACATAAACATACAACTTTGACAAATTAAGGCATGAAGAATTAGAGCCATCTCTTATACTTAACATAATTTTGTAAGCAAATTCCTCATCAACTAGTCTTCAAAACTTGTACCTAGTGATGGGGAACAGTCCAGCATCTTAGCTGTTTATTCCTCTACTTTGGACACTCAGATTCCCTTCATATTGTGAGTATTGTCAGCTGGGCTAAACACCCTGGTATACACACACACTTAATTTCTACCAAAAGACACATTTGGAGAAATAGAATCAACCAAGTAACAGGGTTAAGATTTAAACTTCACTAGAAAACTGTATCAAGCTGCTCTCGAGGATTGCAGGGAACCTGTCAACTGTATCATTAACCATCCTATATATTTTGTGTAATTCTTCAATTCAGGAGCCTCAGCTGGTTAGGATACAAAGTTACGATCACCAATTTAAGAACTGCTGATGATATTGTAATGCATTTCTTGGGCTTAGTTAAAAATGTTCTCAAACTGGCAACACTATAGGAAATAAACCTGTGTTCACTAGAGGAATTTGTGACTAGAAATACAGCATGCATGATTGACCATGATGCTTGCTATCTTCTACCTGATTTTTTTGGTAATCTTGTGAATAAAAACTACTTTCCCTTAAGAATTCATTTCTACTTCAACTTGGGATGAGTTATTCCAAAGGCTGGACAGATGGCTACTCACTATGGCCTGATATGGAAAGTCTAAAGAAAAACCAACCCCTTGTACACAAGCACACATTTACACATTTGGACCTCTTGGAAACCTGTCTCTTATTTAAAATGCTATTCTCTAGTAAGAAAAGGTCACATGCTCTCACTTTGAGAAGTTTAGACAGTGCTGAGTTGGCTGCTGAAGACCTTCCACCTTCCCCAAACCACCCTAGATATCTGTGTCATCTGTGTTACAACTGTGTCTTTCTTCTGATATATTATTATTTTCGAGAGCAGCAACAAAACCCACATACTATTTATTATCACCTGCTTCTCATAAGTACTGTAACAACTGGGGACATTTAAATAAATGATTGTCTGAACAAAATACCTGGATTTGGATGGAAGAAGAGGTTGACAGTGGTGCCCTGACAATATCTCTGCAAAAATTCTTAAGACACTGACAACTTGTCAGGCATGGTGGTGCACACCTTTAATCCCAGCACTTGGGAGGCAGAGGCAGGAGGATCTTTGTGAGTTCAAGGCCAGTCTGGTCTACATAGTGAGTTCCAGGACAGCTGGGGCTACAGGGAGACCCTGTCTCAAAAAGACCAAAAAAAAAAGACACTGACAACTCAGCTCTGGGAGTAGTAGTAGGAATCGAGGTGGCAGGGAAACTTGAGTTTTTACTGTCACTTTTTTATACTTTTGGGGAGTTTTAATTTTGTCCACTGTGGGAATTTGTTGTGTGTCAACTTCTGCATACGTGTGTAGAGAGTAACAACATCAAGAGCCACACCAGACTTGATTTACAGTCTGCTACTGGCCATGCCACCTTAGTGCAGGCGCACAGCCACTGAGGGTGTGAGTGAGGCTGGCTTCGGGCCTCTGGGTCATTCTGCATACAGCACCACCACAACCCCAGCCGCACCTCTGGACAGGAGCTTTTCTGTTTCATCAAGAGTGTGGAATGAACATTTATATTCTCACCATTTTCTTGGCCAAAAGAGCCAAGAAGGGAAACATAAACTCATCAACTTCAGTTAATTAAGATCTCCAGGTACAGGCTGAAAGAGGGTGAAATGTGGCAGATGAGAGTCGAGTATCTGATGGTCATGGGCAGCCTGGAGATTCATCAAGGAAATAAACTGCTCAGGGGCAAGTCAATGAGATGTGAGGTCATTCTTCAAGGGCTGTGAGAGCCAGCCGTTTTTAGGACATCTAAACATATTTGCCCAAAATGAAACTTGCAAAAATCTTGGATTGATCATTCCTTTTCTTCCTTCCCTCTCCTTCTCCCCACACACAATTGGCCCCAAACTCTCTATGTAGCCAAGAATAATCTTGAATTCCTGATCCTCCTGACTCTACCTCCCTAGTGCTAGGATTACAAGAGTGTACCACACTATGCCAGGCCTCAGGTCAACTGCCAATAAAGTTTTAGTATGTTTTACTACCAACTCTCGGGCTGAATATGCCTATCGGCAGAGCGATCACCCATTCATTCCCACATTCTAAGCTTTTACACCGAGTTCAATAGATGTTAGGTAGATTTATCAATGAACATACGACAAATAAATAGTCTTATATTCAATTTTTGTATGGCTATCAATTAATATTTGCTTTCTTTAATTCTTATAGGTAAAGACCAGGATTATGTAAACTCACAGGAGAAAGCGTCATTAAAGATACTCTGTATTACTTAATTTTATCCAGATCATGTGAAACACAGAGAGGCATTCAAGAAAAGTCAGTTGATGTAAATTTTTCCTGATAATCCTTGCTATGTAAAAACTAGATATAATTTTAACACAAGAACAGTGGTAGCAATTCAGATTTGAAAGAAACAACTTGCCAGGGAAAGTATAATTACGTATAAATATGAAACAATTCCTGACATTACATGACACTTACCAATACCGTTTACATTTGCTATGGCGTGATGCCACCATCCTCAGTGACATTTGTCTGTGCTATTTCTGTTCAATTTACTTTTCCTACACTGAAGAATACCAAGCTGCAGTCTTCACCTTAACACTGACCTCAGTGAAGGCTTTCTTTTTGGTGCTGGGGCTCGAACCCAGGGCCTTCTGCACACTGGGCAAACATGCTACCCCTGAGCTACATCCCCAGGCCTCTTGGAGAAGATAAGATATTCATCATTAGGGACCTCACTTTATATTCCCAAGCTCACTACCTAACCCGTACTTGAAACTAGAATTATTTCCCGCCTGTACTACAAGGGCAACTTTTCAAGCTTGCAGTCAGGCATCATTCAACAACACTCATGCCCTGAGTCCCTCTGGGGAACCAAAGGAAAAAAGGAATTTTTTTTTTTAAGGTTTTATTTCTTTTATGTGTATGTGTACCACATAACGACAATCTAAGAATACCTGTATCATCTCTAAAGAAATGCTGTAAGCAGCAGCCACTCCACACATACTCCCAAGTCCTCAGCTCCTGCCAATAGCTAATCTACTTTCTGGTTCCAGAGATTTGCCC